CCGTGGTATAGACACTTGATGTGATAGTTAAGATTTTGTATTAACTTTCTGGGCTAGCATTCCCAGTGATTTGACACTTGAGATATTATCACCAGGGCAGAACCTAATACAAGCATTGGTAACTCTATGATGATTGTTTATGGGCACCCAATAAATTGAAAGGATGTTTCCTTGGGAGTGTGGCCTGCATCCAGTATAAGGGACACACAGGAAAAGCTTGCTCTATTCTCCACTGGGAAGTTGGAATTCATGTTGGCCTGCTGGACCTAACTTGGTTCAATTGACCCGGACTTGGGATTCTAGAATTGTATCATTTCCTTGATTAAAAAGTCTCTTTATATGTATATATGTATAAGATTCACTCATTTGGCTTTTCTAGAGAACCCAGCCTAAATTACTTGACATATAATTAATGAGTTGATTTAAACACTATAATCATTAATTTCAAAAAGAAAATATGCACAAGTAAGAAACTTCTACAAATGTACATTTTACCTTTATAGAGGCTAATTACCCCATTTAATCTTGTTGTCTTCTATCCTGTTCTCTTAAAAAAAAAAAAAAAAAAAAAGCAGGGCTGTTAAGTGGTTCTGTACAGCTGGAGTTAAGGAGGGATGTGAAAGTTAATAGGTAGTAATTATCGTCTTGAAATCCCTATGACAGTGAGAATTGCTTTTCTAAGATTTTCCATTGATTGTTTAGAAAATGACACATGTGAAGAATGGAGAATTCATTTTTATATATGTTTTACTTATAGTCTACCATGTATTATTATATATTATCACATCTCTGGCTTCCATAGTTGGACATTCACATCACAGCTTTTATATTAAAAATCTAAGGTGGTTAAATGGAGGGTCAGCAAAAAAGAAGAAGGAGGTGACTGGCACTTCCCTGACCAGGCAGCTCAGGTAGGGCAGTCTTGGGGAAAAGGGGCAGAATCGCACACAAGAAATCTCTGTCTAGCTGACAGACAGCCTTTGAACAAACATAAGACCTTATATTCCAACATTCTGAACTCATTTTTTTAGAAGATCAAATTGCTAAGGAATTACAGGCATTTTGAGCTTTTGCCTGCCAGCATGCGACTCCCGCTTCTGCGCCTGCGCCAACGAGTGCCTCTGCCCCCTGCAGACCTTGGAATGCAGGGCTAGAGCAACCCCACTTAGAAGGCTGCATTTCCAGAGAAAAGGAAGCATAAACTAACAAAGCCAAACAAATAGAGAGGGATATCTGTGCGGATATCAGGAAATTCAGGGTACCCACGGTACAGAGAAACTGAGAGACGCATTTTTTATGTCATCAAATATGGACACTACCTCCCTGCTGCCATTACCCTAGCCCTCTAATGCCCCAGCCCAGACCAGCCCTCTGCCAAGCCGCCTAGGCTCAGGAACGCCCAAGGCACAGTCCCGCCCACTGAGGCCAAGGCCTGCCCTGAGGCCCAACCCACCCACAGACTGGTCACAAAGGCCCAGGCCCAACCAAGTCCCAAATCGCCTAGCTGCCTTGTGGCCCAGGTGGTCCACAGCCCGGTTGCCACTGAGGTCCAGGACCTCCAAGGACCAACCCGCTGCGTAGCCATGTTGCTGGGCCCAGGGCCCCAGAGGCCCAAGCCGCCCTTAGCCCAGTCCTGGAGGCACAGGCCCCCCGAGGCCCAATCCGCCCAACCCGCCCGCTGAGGCCCAAGCCGCCCGATGCCCAGCTGCTGATACCCAG